TTTAATAAAACTGATAAAGAGAAAATTTTTCTTGAAAAAAATAATTCTTTTAATGAAAACTTTGAGAATTTTGACATTTGAAGATAGATTTTCTGCGGGTTCTTTTTCCCAAGAAACTTTTAGATCTTCACCTGAAATAGAAAGTCCAGAAATATTTCTTACACAACACTTTATGTTACCATCTCAAGACATTTAAAAAAAAAATTGGATTTGTCAAAAAACAATTCTCAAAGAACTTGGTAAACCAGCTATAATAAAGCTATCTCGTAAAATCTTAATTTGTGAGAGTATACAATCCCGCAAAATCTTAAACACTTCTAAATTCTATTTTGGGATACTGTCACATATCGTTATATTTTAATTACAGTAGAATTTTCGCGAAGTCACATAATTAAATTCTTTACGAGTATACTATTTTATATGTAATACATATTATGAGTATAGTATACAAGTTTTATATACGCAAATGCGATTTTTGTAGCATACTCCACTACTACTATTCGTATTTGTGGTCATGTGAATAAAAACTCAGATTATTTTGTGTAACCTTGTTCTTGATTAATAACTTAAAATAATAAAAAATACAATCAATGACGATATCTTTTTCAAAAATGATCAATCGAATTCTGCCTTTAGAAAGAAATTTTCAGAGCGTAAAAAATTCTCCGAGAGAGAAAAAGTAAGTGAACACTACACAGATGGATTAATTTCCGCCTAGTATTGACACGTATGATAGTTTTCCCATACAGATAGGCTGGAATTTGTCAGTGGAAAAAATTGATACATTCTTTAAATGTCAAGATACATGCAGATATAAATTTGACATCGATTTAAGAGGAAACATATTTATAGTCAAGATGAAAAAGGCAGAATATGCATTTGTTGTTGCACTGCTTCAGGATTATTTTAAGGTTCCCAACAGAAGTAGCATTATTAATCCTCCAATAACAGTTCTGGGTGCTTCAGGTAAGAAAAATTCCTTGAGTTGCTTAGACCTGTTATTAATTTTATAATCTTATGTTATAAAATAGCTCACTATCAACCATGTGGAGGAGGAAGACCATCAGCACCTGATATTGCTATATATCCAAGTTTAAAAATTATTCTGAAACCTCCAATTCCAACTCCACCTCCACAATATATACTAAGATTTGTTTGTAGAACCTCTCCAAGGACGTCTCGATATTGTGAGATTTCTCCAGTTGACCAATCGGTTGGTTCTTTACATATCAGATTTTGGTTTGAATTGTCCCTAGTCTTATCATAATTATATAGGAAAGACCTCACACACGAATAATGTGCGAAATTGCAGTATCTCAAAAGTATAGGAGTTGGAATGCAAAGTGTAGTTGTTGGATGCAACAGCAATACGTAAGATGCATATTTGGAATTAAAATTTACAATCTAAAAGCTACGCGAAATACAAACAGACAGTTGGATCGGTGTATGATTGTATGTTAATAATTTCAAAATTTTATTTTTTACTATTTCTGATCTTAGGCCAGACTCTGGACACGTCAGGCAACACCAACACCAGGAAGGCACATAACAGTAACAGGACAGCCAGGAGTTTATTATGAGGAGGTAAAATTAGCATACCACTTAAGGATTGGAGTTGGTTTAGTCGACTAAAAAATTTTTATAGTAAGCTACTATCATCAGCAAATTTAATAGGGCGTAATATTGCGCAATAATTTACAAAGCGTAAGAAAACCGTAATATTACGTAATAA